CCTAGCTATATAACATTCAGCTAACTGTAAGATAAATTAAGTCTCTCTCAATGTGTTAACCTAGACTTGAACCTGCGAAGCTTCTTGCAGATGAAGATCTTTAAATACAGATTGTGCACGTCTTCTAGATAGTTGTCACTTCAATAAATTGCCCTTAGTAGCATCATTGTAGGTATTATTGCATTTCCCTATCTAGCTTAAAAACTGTGGGGAATTCTCATCGGGGAAAATAATACTTTGATGAAGAGGGCGCTACGAACTAATGGGCTTCAATGAACTACGTATCGAATTGAAATATTATGCACTTAAAATTCATTTTGCTCTGTTGCCTAAGTACATCCATTGTGTGCTTTCATAACTTCACAAAGAATAAGTCAACACACAACAACACGGTGAACTGCCTCTATTGTTGTCCTACCACCGCTGTCATTTTGGCCCCGACTAAATGTTTTCCTCCTGCTTCCGTGACTATTTTTGCTTGAAAATACACATTTTTTTATTCCAAGGAGTCTACGCCCTCAGATAGATTATGTAATGATTGTAGCTACTTCGCAGCATTTGCAAATCTTTCAGAATAAAATATCACTATGAAGCGCACTGATCGAAGAGATTCACGTAAGAAATTGGCGAGGAGTAAAAGCGCTGCTAGGCCACGACCTCCAGGAGCTGGAAGAGATGTGTCACGAAGGCCATATGAGATCACTGTCATTGTTCTTGGAGCAACCAGGGTAAAGTAATTTAGTTCATTCATTCAAAAAATCATCTGTAAAAAATAGCGAAATAATCGTACTGGCTCATACAAAGTCTGTTATCAAAGTAGATGTCCCAGAAATGTACTCACATTTAACCATTATGAATTCCCTAAATCAAGTCTTATCCAAAATTTAATGATTTATTTCGACTTATTAAGAATTAGACAAACTTGAACATAGATTTTTACTCACAGATGGATGTTGTGCCTTTGGCGGATAACGTCGTAAAGCAGTAGTACTACCGTTAAGCATAACCATGATTACAAAACCTTGATAAATTTGATGGTTATAGTATACGCGCTCTATTGAAAACCTTATCAGGTAAATCTCAAGGATTAGGACTTCTTTGTGCCAAGACAATAGTTTTGAGCAGCGCTAAAGCCACCAGCAATTTTGTACTGTAATCCAACCGCGGCGGGAGTCAAAAGAACGGCTTTTTGGCGTAAAATCATACTAACATTTCGAAACAATTATCAAGACGTGAAAGAAGTTCAAGTGAAGGAATTGTTGGAGATAAAACAGAGGACACTTTTAGCCCCGGACTCGTTAGAACCGTGTTGAGCTCCGAGAGTTTTCTAAATCAATAAGCTGATGTTTTTGTTTAGGTTGGCAAATCAGCTCTTGTTTCTCAATTTCTCTGGGAAGGTTTCCTTAGTGAGTACAGACCAACAGTTGAAGAATTCAATTGGGTTGAGTATGATCTTGGAGAGGGAAGCGCTCTCATGCTTCAGGTGAGTCATGCTACGCAAAATCACATTGAAAAAAGAAACAAAGTTTTTAGGTAATTGATTCAAGTGGTTCTCGCGATTTTCTTGCCATGCGCCATTTTTACATCAGAACTGGTGACGCGTTTTTGGTGAGGATAATTTGCAATTAGTTTTGTCTACATATGGCACATACAAACCTAGATTTTTCAAATTTTTAAAGTTTTAACGCATTTAAAGCTATGTGTTATAATGTTCTTTCTGCACTTGTTGTGCTTGACTTGAATTCTCCTGATCTGTGAACGAAGTTGTTACCTTTAGGAAAATTCTTCAGTGATAGTCTCAAGGTAAGTAATGCTTCTACTAAAAGTGGCTTTTTTTCCTTTGGCACTCTTTTGTCTTGGCACATTAGTGTCCCGTCTTCTTTTTGCTTTTTCGCATCAGTAATCTCAACTTATTCCAAGGAGGTGCTATTGATTTGCATTAAGCATTATAT